TTTTTTTTTTTTTTTTTTTTTTTTACGTCACGATGGCGGTTGGCGTATCGCAGTCGGATTTCGCGGCACAATATCGCCAGTGCCGTCGGGTTTTTCACCAGCAGTAATAACAGCAGGAACAAAAGAGCAGCCCAGCAGAACGCATAAACGCATAAAACAGTACGCGAGCGAAAGGTAAAGTTTGAAAGGCAAATTTATACGCGCTTTTTGCTTTTGATCTTATCAATGATTACGTAGCGCCGATTTCGAAAAATGTTCAACCGGCCGGGTCCCTTCGCTTTTTGATCGGACGCGTTCCCATCTCCCTCTCACGGCCTCGTCCTTTCCCTTTCGGTCTCTCTCTATCTCCCGTTTCGTATTTTACTTTCGTCACGCCGGTTTATTCACCCCGCAGCGATTCGGGGTCGATTGAAATTTTCATGCGAGCTGTTCAAGGCTCGAACAACAATCGTAGCCAACGTTTTCGAAGCACGGTCGAAGACGAAGACGTTTTTCTGGGAAAGGAAATGATTCTACTTTCTTTGGAATTTCTTGGCGAAGGATGAAAGTAATAGTTAATCGTTTCTGATATCCGTTAAATACCACGTTTGCATTTTACAATTTTCATTCCATCAGTTTACTACTTTGTTACTATATTTCAGATTATTACGAAAATATCGAGTGATTTATCTGTAACAATTATTAAATTAAGATTCCAAGTTCGAGTAATACTAGAACTATCAACGATTAAAACTTGTATCAAAGAAATTAAAATACTATAAAACACAATACGTATATTTTGCGAAATCTTTAAAACCGTGTCGTTAAAATCTAGAAAGTTTTGATGAAAAATTACAAATTGGTCAAATTTTGTCCATTATAGTAATTTTAGTTATCTAATAATCTTTTGCTCTTGTAAGTAAACAAAATTCTTATTACACAAGAGTAAAAAGGGTTGAGTTAAAAAAAATTCATAATATTCATTCACTTAGAGTCGTTGTTGTTGATTGGTCAATTTTACTTATTGCAAATTTTTTTATTATTTCTTAAAAATGTTTGATGGTGCAGGCAAAATTCCATGAATAAGAAACTGTATTAAATTAATTCTAAAATTAATACTACGTGTATTAGATATCAGTATCAACTTCTAGAAACATAATTTTTCTAGATATAACAAGATATTGTTATTTAGCCAATTTTACACGCACTTTAAAAGGCCACAACTTTTAACTCACGTATTTCGTTGAAATCTAAAATTCATAATTTTCCCCTAAGAGCACAATGTTCCTAGATACAATAAGAACTAAAATTTCCCAAACTCTAAAAACATAATTTTTCTATTTTCTCGTCAAGATATTTTTATTTATTGTTAATTAATTTCACAAGAGCTAAAAAGTTATCTGCCAAGAGAAAAATAATGTTTAATAATTTCGTTGAAGATATTTGAAAAGATGTTCGCTCTAATGGGGGCGAACATGTGATATCTGATTGCTCGCGAATAAAGCGGTCCGATAAATAAAAGGGTATAAACGTCGGGCCGATAGCATTAATCTATGGCGTAACTAAAATATTTATCGGTGAATAAATTTGTTCGTCGTTGCCGGGAGCAAACATCGAAGTTACTTATGGTGTAATGAATCACGCCTAATACCTGCCGCACGTTCTCCTTGGCGAGTCGGCAAACTTTACGAAGCAGTTAGCGTAGCACACGCGTACAGTGTGCGCGATTCACTTGTCGTGAATCGTTCGATGATCCAGATCGATCGATACGTTCGTCCATGATTTCAGGATTATAGTTTGGCGGAGTTTAGCAGTTGATTATTAGTCATTAATCATACGGAATTAGTAGGTGATGAATTTATTTTTGCATTTTGACAAATGTTATTTCATTTTAAAGGATTGCGAGAGATTAGAAATTAGGAGAAATTAAAAAATTAGACTGAACTTTCTATTTCATTTATCTCAATGCTCAAATTTTTCGCCTGTTCTTTTAAATTAAAGACAAATAGTTCTCAAATGAACGCATACAAAATTAAACGTTGATTTCCCTGTAGAAAACGATATACAATATTTATACAATGAGATACCAATATAAGTAATCCTGTAAAATGTGTTCTTACATGAGTAATTTTTCAATTTTAAAGTCTTGTGCATAGTATTCTATTTCTATAATTATAAATGTAATCCTGAAACTCTATAAAAATTAAATTGTCCATCCGTTAAACCGCCGTAACTTGTCTTTTTTTTTTTACAACAGAAAAAGATTATTAGTTAACTATATTTGTTTACTCCAATTTAAAATCTATAAATAACGCATTTAGTAATACAGCGAAGCGACAAATATACATGTATAAAATAAAATTTTCAAAATACGAATACACATATATATGTAACTTTTAAGTTGTACGACATCACAGGAAAATTCCGAAGAAGCACATTTAAAATATTTTGTCGATAGTTAGGAAGAGTTAAGATTTCAAGGATCATAGATCGCTCCTCGCTGAAAGTAGAATCGTTCATTGGCTGTAGCACAAGGCTCTTGTCCAAACACTGAGTCACTGTGACAACAATGGATCACCACTACTATGCTCGTTGTGAACGGGGTCGAAGGCTCAGCTGATTGCTCCGTATCACTCGGGGGATGAGGGTTTGTTTATTAATACCTCGAAGATGCAACGCGCCCCTACTCCCACACACGATTCACGTGAAACCGGCGACCTAATTTTACGCCCCTTTTAATCGTTCCCACGATTTCGACGAAATTCGTGAACCAACCCCTCGCCACGATATTGCGTCGCTTACTAAAGATATTTTTCTATGCTTTTGCTTGTTATAATATTTATTGTTAAATACTGTATGATTACATTATGCCATTGTAACATTTAAATTATAATGGATGCATTACTCCTATGAAAAGATGTTTCACTGTATTTTCAAATTCAGAAAATTAATTTCATGTTAATAACATAGTAAGATAATTTTAATCAGACTCAATTCTCAGATTAGAAACTTAAAATACATTTAAGAAATATAAATTTCACCTTGCAATGAAACTTGTAAAATTATATTTTCTGCGAGAAATATAGCCTTTTAGTGTGTCAAATATTTCTCAAATATTTTAAAAACTATTAAACATCAAAGTTGATCAATCAATCAAGAATACTCTTGCGATTGTCCCTCTTAATGGATATCTAATATAATTTTTACTTACAATAATGTGTTTCGCAATCCATCGCGATTAAATCCATCACGCGAAAAAACAAGTTCTCACAAGAGAATCCACCATCGTCCCTCGAACTTCAAAGAAACAACATCACCAACCCCCTCCCCCCAAAAAGAGTTTCTCTCGCGTTCCGTCTGTTGTCTCAGCGAAGACACTCGATGTCGCGGCAAGTATCAAAAATTAAGACGCATTCTTCGAGGCGAAAGTGAAAACACGGTAAAGTGTTTGCACAGAACAGGGCGGGAAGGGATGATGCGCGCGAGGGAGAGGCCGCTTTGCATGGCATTAGCACCTATATTATTGTAAGCCGACGCGCATAATTCTCCGGGCTGGCAGGATGGCCGACAATTTCACGCGCAGCCCTCGCGCCGGAGGATCTCGAATTAATTTAATATCGTTACACCCTACTTTCCCTGCCCCCTCTGCGCCCCTATCCCCTTTTATCGGATATTCGCGCGACACTGATAACGATAAAGCTGCGCCTGGGTTGTTAATCGCTCGACGGCTGCAAATCGAATATAAATATGTTTATAGGCGTGTATTTGTATTTTTGCACGGGTCGACGGGTTACAATTATTACACCGATTAATAAACAAGCAGTGAAAAATAATATCGAAGGCAAGTCGGTGATGAGCGGAGCGATTATTTCGATTTTTACTTGGTAACACGCGCACGTGTATATGCGACGTTTGTTCGTTAATCGTTTCGGTGAATTTGTGAAATTATGGAACGAAATTGGTGGATTTTTAAAATTCAATTTTTCGTAGCAACTAGATTTGCAAGTGAAGCTTGATATTTTTCGTCGTGTAGATTAAGTGATGTTGGATTCTTACTCTATGATGCAGGATATTGTTCCAACCCAATAGTAGTTACCAAAACTATCATAAATCGAAATGTAGCGAAGTACTGAACGAGAGCATGAAATATATCGAATATTTGCTCGCAACAGATACATTTTTCTGTGCTATTGTATCATGTATTTGACAACTGCGAAAAATAACTCGCACAGATCCAAGGCGCAAGATTTTGTTACAAAAAAATTTACTAAAATCCGATGGAACATACGGAGAGATCAGTGTTTCACTCAAAATACTCCCTCAATCGCTCCAACAATCATCTTCGGAAATTCCACCAAAATCTTCCCCCTTGCCCGTTCTGTTTCGAACAACGGTATATTCCAGCAAGATACTCGAAATACTACCGAAAAAGACGACGTAAAGAGAGGGCATCGGACAGAATCAGAGAATAATATCGAGCACACGAGAGCTCAAAGCGAGTGGCATCGGATCGATCGTTTGGCGTTTGAAAGGGAGCCGGCCGGATCGAACGGGCAATCGGCGAACCGGCCCATCGATGTCGCGGTCGAGCATTACGTTTTTCCTGGCCGGATGTAAATGCAGGCAATATCGCGATGTTGGCGCCAATGGTCGACGCTCGAGTGACTGGTGCTGATTGATGTTGCCGTGTTTGGTCAGAGGGTTGTTTCTCCGCTCCGCAGCAGCCCCCAGCGGACCCAATAAGCACCTCACGCACACACGCGTGCTCCTAGGCTCTCCGGTCCACCTACGCCTAACCTAGCCGAAGGAAGCGGAGCCATTGTTTACACGAGCCGTAGTGCCCGTCTGTCGCGATACTACTCGGCTCAGCCACCCCTCTCCTCGCCCACTCCTCCGGCTCCCCTGGGGAGGAACCAGCTTTAAACCACCCCTTTTCAGACCGCCTCGTAACACAGAGAGAACCACGGCCACGTCGATTTATTGTACTGCAACTGTGACCGCCTTTAAATCGATCCTCGTTCCCGCTTCTCTTCCGTGCTTGTCGTTCGCGCGTTGCTTTCGACTCGCACGTTTCCGCGCGTCAGGATAATTCAAGGGGTGGCTGAGGAAAGGATAATTAGATTATCGCATGTTTACGGATTTGTGGGATGCTCGGAAGGGGGAAAATTTTATGTGATTCAGATGGTCATCGATAAAGAGGTCAAAGGTCAAAGATTACAGACTCACGTAAGATCGTGTTTCTCTGTTAAAGACTTCCGACTGATTGTTATCAACTGTAGAAAAGGAAACCGCAATTCACAGAGTAATCG